CCAAGAACTTCTATCCCATTTAGTCTCACAGTAACAAGATGGCCTTCTGTCACATAAAGCTAGGAGGCACAGACACTTTCCTATCAGCAGGTGTGGGGCATCGCAGTCAAAGCTCTCCAGAGAAAAAGGGCCTGCTGAAAACAAAGGCGCTTACCAGTCCCTTTGGAGGTGGATAGGAGAAAGGAGGATTTGTTGACGGCATGGGCATAGGCATCGGCACAGGCAGTAAACCATCAAGACCAACCAGCGGGGCTGTAAATCCACCACCTCCTCCCCCTCCATGGCCACCTTTCTTCACATCATCTGTGAACCCCACATCAATCAGATCTGCCTCAATGCCTGCAGGGGCTTCAGCCTGGGAAGGAAAGAAGAAACTTTTCAGATCACAACCTTCTTGAACAGCATTAGCTGCAACATTTGTCACTGGAAAAGATGGGACAGGAACAGAAGGACAGAACAGATAATAACCTTATTAATGAATCAGAAAGGAGACCAGACAGTAGCAACTGTAGGACTTCGGGAAGTAGAAGGGATCCTGCTATGCTAAGGCTGTCTAGAAGACATCCAAGTGAAGTTACCATAAACTGGTGCTACACCATGATCTTGTGCTCCACAGCACTAACAGGAAATTTCACTGTAACACAGAAGGGGACCACAGACTTGCGTGCATCTCACTCACCATCACCACTGAGTCAGGTTCATAGGGAACATTGTAGTTCTTGGCAATTTCAATGAGGTATCTCTCCACCAGAATCTTGGGAGGTGCCTCCACACTCAGCTTGTGCATCAGCTGAAACACAAGGGTGCGGAGACGCTCATCAAGAATAGTGCAGAATGGCAGGGCTCAGTCACAGCCAGGGTCACCTGCTGTGGGGAGCACAGCACAGTCTTCAGGAGCCCTTTCCACCCAGCACAGCACTGCAACGGTAGAGGCTTTTGGCAGCCATAAGGCAGGGTTCTAAGCGCTCTGCTCCTCTACACCCACAGGCAAGACAGCTTGGTCCCACCTGACAGGGACATCAACACCATATTTCTGTATTTAGAGGCAAGCCAGTCCCCACAACTGTCCCACCCAACTCCACAGCCAGCCACAGACATCAGCCACCGGCCACATGAACAAGGGGCAGAAATCCATGGCAGATTATCTGTTCTTCCAGCTTTAGCCATTCTGCCAGTTCATTACCCTGTCATTAACTGTTCCAATCTGGTTTGTGCGGCACAGCTTCCCATACTCCTTGCTGTATTTGGCGCACAGCTGGTCAGCAACCTGCAGCAGGAGAAAAACTCTGTGATCATATACACCCTTGCTTTCCCCCCACCACATATCCCACATTATCTGCAGTTCCCACAGCCCCCTCCACCTCCACTTGCCCAAATTTCTGCCACCAAGTGCACTCAGCTGAGCAGCCTTAGCCACTCCCAAGGCTTCAGGATTCCTTGCACTAGTGAAACCTGGTATGAGGTCTCCATCTGCAGAGCCCCTAAAAATGTCCTCTGCCTCAGTGACAGAGTCCAATGCTAAATGTTCCAATGGTTGCTGGCAGTGCTACCCCCACCCTCCACACATAACAACCCTCAAACAACCCTACTCACAATCTTCAACTCGGCCACTTCTGACTGGAGTCGTGGTGCAGCCCAAATCAGTGTAGACACTGCTTCTGCCAGGCCAGAGTCCAGCTCCCTAAGGATAATAGAAGGAAATCCTATCTCCACACCACATACTTCACTTTTGCAGCCCTCCAGCTATTTAGCCCTAATGTCCCCAGTCCTTCATGTTAGGCTTCAGATTACTCCCTGCCAGGAAAGGAGAGGTCTCTGGAGGTCCTAGGACACCAAAATAAAAACAGGTGCCCTTCTGTATTCCCAGCCTGATCTCAGCAGTACCCCTCCCTCAACCCAGGGGGGCCTGGACCCTCTCCCACACAATACCCCTGAGGACAGCGCTTACTTCATGGACTGAATCAAGCCAAAGCGGGCTAGCAGTAGATCGCAGTACAGCTCCAGGATCTCCATGGCCTCCACAAGGTAATCTTCACGGATGATGTGCTCCACACGAATCCTAGCACGCTCATCTTTTCCAGCTGCCAGATAATCTGCAATCTCCTTCCTTGCCTTCTGGGCCAATTCAGCTGCAGCACATATCCCCAAGGCCAGTTACTGTGCTGGCAAGAGCTACTGCCCCTACCACACATACACCCATCACCAACTTCTCTCTCCCCATCAAGCTGAGTAGCACCTTAGTGGAGCAACTGTGTCTTAGTCCTATCACGGAAACTCATAGGAGAAAGGAGAGCAGGTTTTTAGCTGCTAGAAACTCTCCCACACCTTCAATTTCCTTGTATAGTCAACCAGAACCACGGGGTAAATCTTACCCATGTCTAATCAGGGCAGAACAGCCAAGTGAGGTGAGTCACCCACAGCACAATTTCCTCACTGTGTAGGCACAGAAGGCCCAGGAAACAACCTTCTGGGCAAACTTGGATGTCCTTCCACATATAGCACATAGCTGTGACACCGGTCACCTTGTCAACCATATTCTGACACCTGCCAGAAAGCTGTATGGAGACCACACTAGGGCCAGCCTACGCCTCCGGGGTCAACATACCCAGGCACAGTGCAAGGCTTGGATCCAGCAACAAATAGCAAAGGCTATTTCATACTTGGCCAGCAAAAAAAACTTCCTTGACTCCAGGAGGAAAAAAATAAAAAAATAAATCTTCTCCTCAAGTTTCCTGGGCCCCAAAAGTATCCGGGGTCACACCTACCCCCTCAAATACTCACTCTTCTTTTTTTCCAGCAGTTTGAGGCGATTGATGACAAGACGTAGGTTGACACGCAGGCGCTCAGCCTTGAATCCAGAGCCCAACATGATGAAGTTTCTAGGGGAAGAGAGGAAGATCACTGGCACCAGTAACCAGAAAGACACTGGTCCCTGTTTTACTTAGAAAAAAAAAGCAGAATTACAGTACTTCACAATGACAAGAAACATTTGTAAGAAAAATCTTCCCCAGCACTAACACTGAAAGATCTGGCTTGTACCAATGGACTGGGAACAGACTTTTGGATCATGGTAATTCTAAACACACAGACAGCAGTTTGCATAAATTTACTGCTATTTAGAGTACATACAGATCTTTGAGCCAATCTGTCCAAACATCAGTGCAATTATCAACAACGTACAGTGCCCACTAAAATCAAATAAACACCAGTACGTAAAAATCTGCTATATATTCACCTGACACCATGAAAAGTTCTGCCCTTCCATAACCTGAATATACAGCTTATATTATATAACTTTATATATAATATAAAGTACATACTATATATATAGTATAAAATAACTTTACAGAGCTGCAAGAAAGCCTCAGCGCGAGCCGCACGCTGCTCTACCAGTCCTCGCCCCCGAGAACACCGTTCCCACCACCGCCTGCCCCGTCTAAGGGAACATCTCGCCCCGCCGACGTGAACCTTCCTTGGGCAGGGCTGAGCACCGCCGGGGCAGCCCCATGAGAGGTGCTCCGCCTGAAGGAACACAGAGCAGCGCAGGAGGCCCCGCTCGGCTCCCCCCGGCTGTGAGGCGGTAGGAACAGAACAGCCAGACCCGCCAACCATCCCCTCCGCCGCCCCCATCCCAACTCACCCCTGCCCCGCCGGCTGCAGACACCTAAAATGGCGGCGCGCGCAGCACCGTCTCACTGCGCGCGGAGGGATCTGCCGTGCCGACGACTACCCGCTGCCCGCTCGGGGCACGGCCGGGCTGCGGCAGCCGCCACCGAGACCGAACGGAGCTGAACGACGCACCGACGCGGCAGCGTCCGGGAAAAGCGACGTGGCGGCGGCCGCGAGAGAGCGGCGCCGAGGGACTACGTTACTCGGCGGAGGAACTCTCTCCTTCCCCTCCTCGCTGAACTCCCGCCGCCGCCCGGCCCCGGCGCGGAGGTTCCGGCAGCGTCGCGTTCCGCCTCCTCGCCCCGCCCCGCCCCGCCCCGCCCCGCGAGCCCCGCACGCGGACTGCACCGCGCTAGGCGGCCGTACTCGCGGGGTGTCCGCGAGAGAGGAGCACCCTCGGGAGAAGCACCGCCGACATCGGCCCCGGCGGAGCGCAGCGCGCTGCCATCGGGGAGGCCCTGGCAGCCGCGGATCCCTCCGTCCCGGGGCGGCGCGGCCGCGCCCCGCCGCGCGCCGATCGGGGCTCCCCGGGGCCTTCGCGAATGGACGCGGGCTGAGATCCCCCGCTGCGGAGCGCTTCGCCCCCGGGCGGGCCGTGAGCTTGGAACGCGGGCGGCGCCGCTCCGACCGGCGTGACATCGGTTCCTGCCCTTGCAGGGGAGCGAGGCCCGGCGGGATCAGACGGCCGCCGCCCGAGGCGCGGGGAGCGGAGCGAGGCTCTGCCGGCCGCACCTGCCGCGCGTCCATGGCACGCAGGTGAGCGGCTCCGGGCGGCGGCGAGGGGGGCTCAGCCAGGCCGTGCCCGCGCCGCGCGCTCTGGCGGCGCCGCCATTTTGCCGTCTGTCTGTCCGGCGGCCCTTTGTCTGTCCGCGGCTCCCGGCGCGGGCGGCGGCACCGGGTGAGGCGGGGCGGGCGGGCGCGCGCCGCCGTTCGTCTCTCCGTCGGGGAGCGGGGTCCGTGCGCCTGGGGCCAGGCCTGCGCCCTGTGCGGCCGGGGTGCCTGCGGGCCGGCGTCCGATTGTCGAGGGAGGCCGGCGGTGTCCGGCGTTCGTTTGTACGGCCGCAGCCGATGTGTTCCGTTCCTCCTTTTGTCCGCGTCCGAGGGAGCCGTGGGGGTCGATTCTCTACTCCGTCGGTCAGAGGGTGAGGGCCGACGTTTCCTCTTTGTGGTGCTCGAGGGGGGTCCGGACGGCGTGTCGGCGTGTGCCCCGGCGCCCGGGCGCTGCACCGGAGGGACGATGCTGGCGGGGGTCCGGGCGGCCTCGCTGGCGCGCACGCGCTGCTTGCAGGGCCGTGCCCCGTCCCTGTGCTGCTCGGGCCCGCTCACACCGGGGCGGCGGTTCCCTCGTGTGCCCGTCGTGGGGCTGACGGTTCCCGGTGCTCGGCCTCCCGGGTCGGCGTCTCCTCTGCCCCTCTGTGGGTCGGCTCGGTGGTGGAGGTCATTAGGCTGGTGCCTTGTTCGCCGTAGAAGCAAATGGGAGGGAGAAGGGTACTTGGGCTGAGCCCAGCCACTCGTGAAGCAGGGCATTCTAAGCTTTTTGTGTTACGGGTGCAGAATTGCTTATTACTTAGTTTGGGTTGGGTGGGGCTGCCCGTGCGTGGTAAAATGATTGCGGATTGCGTTGGATGCTGGCTCTGAATGTGGCTGTGGCTTTAGCCCTGTAACCAAGAGGATGGGGATTGACCCTGAGACGCTCAGCTGCGTTTGTCTGGTGGCTGAGAAGGTCCCAGTGGTGTGTGTGACAGGCTCTTCTCTTCTCAGGTGAGCCCTCTGCTGAGGGAACGAACACACTGTGCTCCCAGGTCAGGGAAACATGTCCCGTCGGAAACAGACCACTCCTAACAAAGTTCACTGTGAGTATTATGTTACATAGCACCATGGGATCCTTGTCATAGATGGATAGTTGTGGAGAGGAAGGGGAGGAGGGCAGTGATGAAAAGGTACCATTTGTGGGGGAATGGTTACCTATGTTTTGTCCTAGGGCTTGTAATAAGAACTCTGTATGCCAGGGGAGCTGGCAGTGTCCTGACAAGGTAGGACAGGGATAGGCTTGAACAAACTCTGTAAAGGTAGGTTTGTGTGCACAGGGCCTGCAGCTCTGCTTTGTGTTCACACTGTCACAAGCATAAGTTAGGTTCTGGCCAGTTCTTGGATAGCAAAGAAAGTTCGAGGTAGGGTGGTCTGAGTGTACAACTGAAGTCTGGGAGCCCTGGCTTCTGATCTTTGCTTTGCGGCAGACTCAAGAGACTGGCTTGGATGCGTCACTTAAGCTCACTGCACCTCAGTTTTCCACCAGATAATGTAAATAAAGCCATTTGCCTTTTCCTGGCAGGGAATGGACAATGGCTATGTCAAATAATGGACAGATATGATTTGTCAGGCCATTTCTGAGCTGAGCTGAGAAGACAGGTGTCTTTCTCCAGCATTGTCAAGACCCTAACATTTGTTGGATAGCAAAAGGACTGAAGGTGCTGTACATCAGTGCTTCTTGTGGGTAGGCTGTAGTGAGGTATTAGTGTAGCTGTGGATGTTCAGCTACAGAGGGGCATCTGCATGGGTTTTGTTTGGCTGGTTACAGAGGGGAGTTGGGAGTCCGAAGCTATGCCCTTGTATATATCCAGCTTTGTGGATGGATAGATGCTTGAAATCTGGGCTTGAACAAAAAAAACAAATCTCCACTTCTGTGGACATGTGAAAGCAAGGCTGATTGAGATGAGAGGGCTAAGAAATGCTCCGCTATGGTAACTGTCAGGTCTGTGGAATGGAGAGCTGACTGCTGCGGCCGTAGCAACTGCCTCACTTTGCTGATGCTGCTGGCTTGCCTGTCTCTATGTGTTTCCCTGTGCTGCCTTTTTGTATGGATACAGCAACAGAAATCTATGCATGCTGTTCTCTGTGTTAGAGGAAAATACATCCTGACATAACCTAATGCTCTGCACCCTCTGTGAGTGTACTGGTGAGAATTACCTCTTTCTGATTTGAAAGCCCTATAGCCTGCAAATGCTAGGCATGGGAGAGCAGACAAAGCTTTCCTTGATGGCCAGTGTCAGAGTATTGAGGGCTGACTTTGGCAGCTGCTCTGACTTGTGCTTTCCCACTCCTGCTTCCTGTGTGCTGAGTTCAGCAGTTGGTGGAATACAGCTTTGTACAGATTTGTCTGCTTGGAATTGTCTTTATTAGATAAACTTGATGCATCCTGTGTTTTCTCCTGCAATGCCAGTAACACATCTTCTTTCCACACACATTTGCTTTTGAGAGCACCCAGATACTGCTTCTGCTGTTTAGATTAGATGTATATAAAGCATGTACTTACTCTGTCAGCCCTGGTGTAGGGTTATGGGCTCTCATCTATGGACACCAAAGAGTACAACAGCTTTAAAAGTTCATGTCGAGTTTTCGTGGTGTTTAGGTGGGCTAATTTCTCTTCTCCACTCCACTGCAAACAGTTGTGTTCTATAGAAGCTTGTATTGTTATATACATGAACTATACATGCTTTGGAGTTTGGTCGTCAAGGTATTTTCGCATCATTGCTTTTTTATCTGCAATGCAAGTGATTGTATCACCAGTTTGGGTCTTGGAGAAGGTACCCGACAAAGATGCTACCAGCTGGCACAAGGCTGAGGTATGGCATCTGGTCTGCCATAGAGAAAGGAAGCATGGGACTTGTTCACCACCTTACACACAATATTTAGCTGCAGATAAACTATTTGATAGGAGGCATGAAGAGCAGCAAAATAGGATTGGAAGAAAATGGGGGACTGACAGATACATGAAAAATTGCAATGGTGATGTCTCCTCCTTGGGATGGAAATCTTGTCTGTCTTATGATGAACACCACCAAATCGTTGGGACTTCTCTGTCTACCTAGCCTGCTGTGTATCTGGAGGGCCCAGAATTGCCATGCAGTGCACTGGTGAATGACGAGGAAAATCGGAGAGAGCATCATCTCCAAGATCTGGGTGAGCCAGCAGAATGAGGAATCAGGCTGAGACATAGCAGGCACGTTACTGAAACTTCTTGGGACTGAAATTGTTGGGAGGAGAGGAATAAAAGGGACAGCAGGTACGTCTGCAATTGGGATCAGATCTGCAGGCTGTGGGGCTTGGGAAGTGCTTTGTGGATTTGCATAAATGCCATTGTGATTATCTAACAGGACAAATTCATGAGAGGATGATGCCTACTTCTTCCTTGCTTGCTGCTCTATGTTACCTTCCTTCTCAGATTCACTTTTGCAAGCAACAGCTGCATTCTCCTGTCCCTGGCTTGTTCAGTGCTGCCTCTTTCCAGAGTTACTTTCCAGGCTCAGCATGGCCCCCGTTTAACCTTGCTCTCACAACAGCAGTTGCTGTCTCCACTTAGCACAGTAGTACTTTGGCATGCAGAATTGTGTGGTTACAAGTCAGACCACTTCAAACAGAATTTGATGTGTAAGGAAACTCATAATTCTACTGAAACAACAGTAAAAAATACTGTTATCATAAGCATGTCTTTGTGTGTGATTGCCAGTCCACTTATAGTTTCCACTGTAGTCATTTCCATGTGGCAGAGTGCAGCACATAATTGGCTTTTAATAACTGATTTTCGTATTGTCATGTGCTGCATAAAAAATGCTTTCATCTGACAATATGGTAAGAAATATATTTGTAATACTGAAGTATACTTATTGCATTGCCCATTCCTCACTGAATTGAAAAATGCCACGCAGTTGTATTGTTCCTGTGGAAGTATCTTCATTCATTTGGTCTTTATTTTCTTCCAGACTCTAAAGTATAAAAGTATCTTCTCTCTAAGCAGTTAATCTTCTGATCTTGCTTCAAGCCTGTCCTTTGCTGCAATGTCACTCATCAGCTATAGGTCATTCCACTGTTCTTGAGCTTGCCAGGAATTCTGCTGCAGGTATTAGAGTTTGCTTTTGTTTCCTCTCTCCGCTATCCCATGAGCTGCTTTTCTTTCTACGGCTTCTACCTTTTGCAAGTGATGCTTAGACCTCTTGAGAACAGTATTTGTTAATCAAATTAATAACCACTTCCTAGCTCTATTCTGTGTTGTCCTGGTGTCCCATTAATCCTTGGTTTCCCTCCTTTTCCCTCTGATATATATATGTACACACACACACACACTATCTCTCTCTCTCTCTCTCTCTTTGTGCTCTTCGGCATTTCTTGAATTCTGCTGCTTGTAATACTCCCAGTTTGAAAAGAAAGTATCTTTCAAGAATAGTAGCCAGCAATCAAACTGAGCAGCAGTTGTTATTTGCATCAAAATCCTCAATTCTTAAAGGGCTCCATGGGCTGCGGTTATTAACACTTTCAATTGTTGTTTTTCATTTCAGTAACCACTACAGCAGTGTGGACAACCCAGAATAGCGATGGGGCAGGTGGATTAGATCCACAGTGGTGAACAGACTTGCAAATTTCAGGTCCAGGAAAGGAACACAGAGAAGACCTACATGAACAGGGATGTTAAATTGATGTACAAGGAGGGAGTAAAGTGGCTCATCTCTGAGAGACTTTTCTGTTTAGGAAGGAAGACAGGGGAATTATGCAGTTTATTCTGATTTTTGTTTTGTGGATTTTGGAGTGAGGTTGTTTGTTTATGTGTTTATTTTCCAGAACACCTGAGAGTTATCCTGCATTCATACAGTTCAAGAAGGGAAGGGCTAAGGAAAATAATCATTTCTGGCTGCCAAGCTGATACACCATCAGATCGTAGCACTCATAACTGCCCCTGTTGCACAGTACCACAGGGCTGGCCCCTACCTCCACAGCTGCTCTCCTGGCATCCCACTCATTTGCAAGATTATGGAGAGGAGAACTGGAAAGCAAAACAGAGGCAGTTGTTTGACTCTCGCTGTTCTACATCTCTAGCTGCTTGTGAAACAAATACAGTGACTTGTTTTGTTGTTGTGGTCAGCCTACAGCCCTTTCTGTATTTAATAAAGAAACTTCTGGAGAAGAGTCTGCGAATTCAATATTGAGCATAATGTCCTTTCTGACAGTGGTGATCCTAAAGCTGTTGCCTGTCTTACTCCCTTTCTACAGAAATGCAAATGTATTCAAAATGGGGTGGAGGCGGGGGTGTGTTTGTATGTGAGCATGTGTGTAGACAATAAGAACATAACCCTGTACCTATCAAACATTAAAATTCCAAAGCTTTACTGACGTAGGACCTAGTCTGTCAGTAGGTGAACTGAGCACTCTTTTCCAAGTTCTTTCAGAAACGTTATTAGTAGAATAAGAAATTTGGTATAAGCAAAATACTGAGCTTTTGAAAGTTTTTTCCACTCCCGTGATTCCTTTTGGATACAAGCTAGTGGTTTGGTTAACGGTTTGCATTTCTGGCTGTAAGCTGATGGATGGTTTTCCACACTGCTCTAAATCAGTGCTCATGTGGTTGTGTGTATGTTATAATGAAAGGCCTCTGGCAGACGTGATTGCTCTGCTGGTTGTTGTGATTGGTGTTAGAAGTAGAATCACTCAATCTCAGAATGATTTGGGTTGGAAAGGACTTCAGTGATGATGAAGTTCCAACCCCTGCTGCAGGCTGGGCTGCCAGCTGTTAGATAAGCACGAGGTCAGGTTGCCCAGGGCCCCATCCAGCCTGGCCTTGAGCTCCTCCAGGGACGGGGCATCCACAGCCCCTCTGGACAACTTTGGAAGCCTCTGAAGGGCTTTACAGTCTTCCAAAAATTAAAGCAATGTTGGGAATTTTGAGCTGAGCACAAGAAAGGCAGTATGTGTATAAATACGGGGCAAAGCTGGCTGAAGCAGTTCAGCATGTGAGATGCACCTGTCCCTGTAGCAGGACTGGTGCTGTCTCCATGGGTTATGAGTGCAGTTCCCTGTATTGATGCCAGTTGTGGCCCTATCCTAGAAGGGGCAATGCTTTGAAAGCTGCACTGTGACCTTCTTTGCACTGCATCTTAAATTGTATTTCTGCATTTACGCTTTGAGTAGTTCCTGTGAACTTAGAAATGCTGATCCAAAAGCTATAGCTGTTTGGGAACTAGCACCTTGCCCCAAGTGCTCGTAACTCATCCACTGCTAAAAGCAAGTCTTCGCTACCTGTAGAACAAAGTCGTTTGTTTGTTTTAATGTGAAAATTGGTGGTTGACTTCTGTAGTTAATCCCTGGAACTGGAAGCCTTGCAGAGACTGCTGTAGGAAGTTTTCTTTCAGAGGAACTCAGATAATTGCCTTCTAATAGGTTTTTTGTTGTCTGTTCTCATGTTAAGTCGAGATACAAATAGTTACAAAGAGAAAAACAGACTGTATGTAGAATTTAGTTTAACCTAATGTGGGAATCGTGCAAGCACTGACGTCTGTGCCTTTCCAGACCCTAATGTGATTGGTTGACCCTGATGCAATTAGTATGAATATCCTGTCGCAGTACTGTTGTGCTGCTTGTAATAGCTTCTGAATGATTTACAAGAGCGATGTAGCAACATGTCCAATTTGGGATACAGTCATCATCCCTGCGTGGCTTTTCCTCACCTACAGCTGTGCTATCACTGTTGGCACATTGGTCCTCTGGTAAAAGTGGAAGCCATGTGAGCACACGTGGCAGATGTGGAGCCTTGCAGGTTTTTTACATGCGACTGGAGTGGTGTATAAAGGGTGTGCAGAGAGCAGCCTGACACCATACACAACCGCTAGCGAGACGTGGGGACTAGACTTGTGTTAGCAGATACAGGAGGCTGGAGTTACAGGGCAGGGAAGCACAGAGGTTATTTAAATGCTTTCAGAGAGGTGACTTCAGAGGGTCTGCACATTGCAGGTGAGCAACCCCACACTTGTTGCATTTCTGGCAAGCTTTTGTGAAATAATGGAACAGCACCAATCTGACTTTTTGTCCTTGTGGCTGCCAGGGGAGCAAGTCTTTGCAGGGCTGGAGGAGCAAGCCCGCCAAGCCATGATGAAAAACAGCTTTCCTGGAGCTCTTGGGGACCAAAGGCCAGCTATTCATCCACTGCAAGACCGTGATTTCAGCAGCAGTGAGTTCTGCCCCTTCCAGTAATTGCAAGGTAGTGGATTGGAGAAACTGATAGGGTGAGGCTAGGTGCTACAGAGCTGGTGGGAATTCTCTGAGGACCATTTTACCCATCTTCTCTTCTGAGTTAGCCCTTGATTCTTGTGCTGACTGCTCTTTATCAGTCAACAGTAAGAGCAGAACTGCTCACTAAGAGAAGACAAGCCCAGAGCCAATGGCCACAATACAGGTTGAACAGTAACCTCACCACTAGAGTGCAGTCCCACAGCACCGGAGCAGAATGGTGACGGCACCAGGCTCTGTTGACAATCTAGTGATCATGGAGCAAAGCCAGGTAACAGGCCAGATCCAGGGACTTAACGTGGTTCTTTGGGGATTGAAGTACCTCCTGAGTTTAAATGGGGCCCCGATATTGAGTGTGAGTGGAGGCCCTAGGTGAGGCTGGTCAGGGCAATTAAGGTCTGTTAGTGCTGTCAAGGTCCTGACACTTGGAGTAACTGCTTTCTATGTTCAAGGTGGCAGTGATGATGAGGAAACCACCCATGATGAAGTTTCTTCCCATACTTCAGAGGAGGATGGCTCAATGCTAAAGGTGAAGAAAGAACTGGAGAATGGAGACCAACCTGCAGCTGGAACCCTGCTGATGAGAGAAAATGAGGCAAGTGTGTACTGGCACTGCAGTCTCATCAGTGTCCAAAGGAGAAGGGGTGGGCACTGTCTAGACATCTCTCTGTAACCTTAATTTCATACCTTGTTCCCATAATCATCTCCTCCAAACAGCATCTCCTGTTTAAGGGAGATGGTTTTGATGTTCATGGACTGCCAGGAACAGGAGATAGCAGGGATAAACTGCTATTCCCCTGCCTCCTTCAGTTCTTGTACCTTTCGTTTCTGCTACAGAGCAGGCCTTGCCCACTAGAGCCACCATGCTGGCAAGATCATGGGTTCGAGTGGAGGGCATGAAGCTTCTGCTTCTTCCTCCTGAGGCAGCAAGAGCTTTGCTAAGAGGCTGAATAAAGGAAGTTTTGGACTGTGAGAACTGCAAACCAGCCCCAACAAGACTGAGCACTGCACTCGATCTGGGCTGGGCCATTGTGCAGTCCCTCGCTAGATGCTAAGGGAGGGTGGGTGGCTGTGTGGAGATCAGTGTGCCTTACACCAAAATGGCTTTCCTTTCCTGTAGGTTCCTGAGAGCTTGAATGCTGACTCCATTCTGGGACTGTCAAAGTGTCCCCTCTGCCAGCTGGAGTATGAAAGCAGAGAGCAGCTCATTGCTCATGTATACCAGGTAGGGGGTGGTTCTGAGTAGTGCGATGTCTGTGCCTTAAGCACCTCAGCTGTCCCAAAGTCAGAAACAACCCTGGGCAAGGAGCATGGCTTGACTTTGTTCTGATCTTTGCAGTCACAGAACTGAGCTTCTATCTAGGATGTGATTGAAGTTTATAGCAGATAGTCCAGAGAAAGTTCTGGGGAAAAAAATAAGCAAAGCAGCAGTCTGCAGATCTGGAGAATACAGCTCCATCCCAAGGCAATCTACGCAAGCAATTGCAAACAGAGACCAGGCAGTTCCTTCAGATTAAACATGGAAGCAATTCTTACACCATTCAGTGTGATCAGCTGATCATTCAGCTCCTTATTATGTCCCTTTATCATAGTTCCTACCTGTGGGAACAGCTGTTCTTCCTCTGAAATGATTCCAGTATTGCAGTAAGTCTGTGGTGGGAACTCAGGTTTTGTTGTTAGTAGTCTTCACAGCACGTCTGTGTCTGCGAAAGAAGGAATGAAGCAGAGCTGAATTGGCAACTTAACTGTACAAGCTGATCGTTTCTAGCTACCATCATAGTGAACTTTTCCTCACCAGGAGGCTGCATACTGTTAGTGCAGTCATGTTTTGTCTAATAACAGCAGCTCCTCAGATGCATTTCTGAAAACAAGAGTCAGATCTTATGATCTCTTTTGGCCCTACTTGTTTCTCTCGCACTGCAGTGGAGGTGTAGAAAGGTCTTGCTGTTTGATCTGTGACATCCCAAATGTCTTGAGCTAGTCTAGGAGCCATCAGCTGGAGGATTTACTGGTTAAGTGATCCAGTTCCAGGAGGTTGAGTTAGCTAGTTTCCCATATTCGTTGAGCACACCTCAGACTGGGCAGGAAGCTGGGCAATTTGTAACTAACAACTCTGTGGTTGTTTTGCAGCACACCGCAGCTGTGGTGAGCGCCAAGAGCTACATGTGTCCTGTATGTGGAAGAGCCCTCAGCTCACCAGGTTCCCTTGGGCGACACCTCCTGATCCACTCAGAGGACCAGCTGTCAAACTGTGCAGTGTGTGGAGCACGCTTCACCAGCCACGCCACATTCAACAGGTCAGGGTCATCCTGGCTGGTGAGTGAGTGAGTGAGGGTACCCACAGAAAAGCTTAGGTGCACTGCCTTAAATGACAGAGGAATCATATCTCGGCCCGACTTGTGACCGTTTGTGATCACCCCCAGTGGCTGAGATTCCTTTGATCTCTTCATCCCTGCAGCTCCACATCACCTGCTAAAACCTCTGTGATCATTGCTGCTTGAAGGGTGTTTCTTAGCTGTATGAAATGTAACACTGTTCAGAGAGCACTGGGGTCACTAGTCACAGGAGAGAACAGTCATTATTTCCCTTGCCCAGCAATCCATCACACTGGGTCTGTGCTGCCCAGACAGCTTCTCTTTTCCAAAGCAGGACTACATACAGAAACAAAAATGTTCTTCATTTACGTCCTGTCTGGTGGAAGGACGCTGACTAGGCAAATAGAGCTGGAAGAAGAAATACAGAAATGAAAGTGGGGAACAGCTTGCTGGTTAATCCCTGCATTTGCATTCTTCTAATCCAAATACTGCTCTGGGCAAATCCCATTCCTACCCCTGTATACAATGTTGCTTGATTTTTAGATATTCAGACACATTTTGGGGCAAAGGCCTCTGTCATAGGCTCTGGTAGGAGCCACCCTGTAGTCTGAGATGAGGACTCTTCTGTCAGTACCAAGTCTGACACCGCTCTTTCTGCTTTCCAGCGAGAAGCTGACAGAGGTGCTCAGTGCAGATCGCCTGCCTGTGCCACAGAGCGAGGGCCCCTCCAGTGTCAGAGGGAAGGACATTACCTTTCACAGCCCTGTGTATCCTGCAGGCATCCTCCTAGTGTGCAACAACTGTGCTGCTTATCGTAAGCTGCTGGAGGCACAGACACCTGGCATGCGAAAGTGGGCGCTTCGTCGGCAGAACGAGCCCTTGGAAGTGCGTCTGCAGCGCCTGGAGCGGGAGCGCACCGCCAAGAAGAGCCGGCGGGACAACGAGACCCCCGAGGAGCGGGAAGTGAGACGTATGCGGGATCGAGAGGCAAAGCGCCTGCAGCGCATGCAGGAGACGGATGAACAGCGGGCGCGGCGGCTGCAGCGAGATCGAGAAGCCATGCGACTGAAACGTGCCAACGAAACTCCAGAGAAGCGACAGGCCCGGCTCATCCGGGAGCGTGAGGCCAAGAGGTTGAAGCGGCGCCTGGAGAAAATGGACATGATGCTGCGGGCGCAGTTTGGCCAGGACCCCTCTGCAATGGCAGCTTTGGCAGCTGAAATGAACTTTTTCCAGCTGCCAGTGGGCAATGTGGAGCTGGAGAGCCAACTGCTGGGCAAAATGACTTTTGAGGAGCAGAGCAACAGTACTCTGCATTGAGCTGCAGGCAGAGACTGCCATCTCTGCTGTGTCTGTCACAGGCAAACCAACAGGCTTCTGTGTTCAGGGGGCTGCTGTAGCTCCCCAGATGTCACTCCTGCATGGGTAGTTCTGACTTCCTCCTGAAACAGGAGGAGAATGGAGCTGATTGATGTCTGTCTGGGGCTACGGTCTGAGGGTCAGCCACCGCATTCGGACAGTGGGAAAATAAATTAATGTTTCATGTTTATTTAGCCCCCTTCTTTACCTCCTGTGCTTTGTATTATTCTTGGACCCTCGCACCATTAAATGGGTTGAGGCTGTTGCAGTTCTGCTGTAGGTAAGAAGTCTGCCTCAGACTTGTTTACTGCAGCATAAGTTATGGAGATAAGGACTTAGATGGTCCACCATTCCTCCAGGAATAAATACTATTCTGTGTCCATAAAAAGCAAGGGGAAAAAAAAAGTAATCTCCCTGGAAATAGCTGCGCACACCCTTTTTTTTGTTATGTGCTTCCTTGTAGTAACACGCATGGAAAAGCTAACAGGAAACTGAGTTCCCATTCTAAGAAACCTCAGTAATGGAAGGGCTGACAAAGTGAGCAGGGAACAGTTTAGTAGTTTACAAACAAGGCAATTTTCATTCAAACAGCATTTCAGATTTGCAAGCGAGAGACATGGACATACTGGAGCAAGTCCAGCGAAGGGCCAGAAAGGTGGTTAAGAGACTGGAACATCTCTCCTGTGATGAAAGGCTGAGCGAGCTGGGACTGTTTAACCTAAAGAAGGTTTGGGAATTCAATGAATATGAATACCTGAAAGGAGGATGCAGTGAGGTCAGAGCAGGCTCTTGTCAGTGCTGCCCAGTGACAGTGAAAAGAGGCAGTAGGCACAAGCTGAAGCACAAGAAGCTCTGCCTCAACATCAGAAAGCACTTCTGTACTTTAGGTGCCAGAACGCTGGCAGAGATTGCCCAGAGAGGCTGTGGACACTCCATCCATGGAGGTGTTTAAAAGCCGCCTGGCTAGGCTGCTCTGGGTGTCCCTGCTGGAGCAGAGGTTGGACCAGATGGACCCAGAGGTCCCTTCCCACCTCAGCCATTCTGGGACTTCAAAATTAAATGAGCTTATTCCGTTTTAATACAGCCAAATGTAATGCTGCTCATCTGGGATCATGGGTCACACATGGAGCAATTCATTCCTGTTGAAAATTCTTGTGTGACCAACAATGACTTTCAGCCATCACCGCAAGTAACATATGGGAACAGTTGGGGAAAATGTTAGTAAACAGAAAGCTGCTTTTGCTTTTACGCTGTAACAGAACCCATGAGAGTAATGCAGAGAAGTCCTGAACTGGGGAGGAGCTGGGAAAATCTGCTGGAGAGCAGTGAATTTAAGCCCAGAAGCAGCCAGTGCAGAGCATAATAGTGGTTTGTACCTATATGGAAATGTTCCCCATTCTACTACAACTATAAAACTATGCAACTATGGAAATTAAACTTAAGCATGTTTAAACTGTAAAAGGCAAAACAGTAGCGCAGAACCGAAAGTGAAGGAGCAGAGAGGTCATACATTCTCCATTTAAGAGAATGGTGGTTTAAGAGTGAGCATCTAAAATTTTATGCTGTAGCTTTTCAAACTTCAGCCCACCACTGGTGTGATACACAGCTGCATGTGGTGCCCTGGAGACGACATTTCCAGCCACAGCCTGCAGTACATCTGTGTAGTGGGGAGTTGCTGTCTGCATTAAGTCAGAAATGGCCACAAGAATCTCACCTGGGATTCAAGGTAAAACAAGGAACAAAAACTTTCAGGCAGACTAGTCAGAAACAACTCGGTTTTTCAAAAACTTTTGATGGAACGCTTTGAAGGCCACACTTAAGTGCTTACAGTAACTGCATTTGGAGTACACAGTGCTCCTTTTCTCTTGACACAAAACTAACCTTATAGGCAGTCTTGTGGGCGATTGCTACAAAAAGCTTTTAATTTTACTGAAGCTTACATTTTTATCTATGTGCAGAAGTTGTTTTGACTTCTCATTCTCCACAAAGAAATGACTTCTGGAGGCCAGTCTGGCCTCACTTTCTTTGGAAAAAGCCACCAGATCTGGCAAGAATCTGTTTGGCTCCATCTTACCCTCTTCCTATCCTCTTGTTTTTCGAGCTGATCTCTCACCTTTATTCTTGCCTCCATTTTTATACCAAGCTGACCATCTGCTCTTTGCAGCAGCTGCTATTGCTCTGTGATGTGTGTTCTGCTTGGCCAGCAGAAGTGTTGTTTTGCTGTGCAAACCATAGCTGAAGCTATAGATCCCAGATCACTGCGTAAGAACACAGAACCCACATCCAAGTGATCGCTGATGCCACAGACAAGCAAAAAGTCTCAAACACCAAAGAAAAAGCTATTGGTTTATATATAGATATATATAGATAGATAGATATATACTGTGTTTACAGAGTCAACAAGTTAAATGGAATATTCATAAGAGCGTTAACAATAAAAATACAATCTGTGTGTAGCCAAGTACAGACTTAAAATGGTAAAACAGGAAAAAGGATCTCACCAAAAGTACAAATATACAGTACAAATTGATTTATTTAAAACAGTTACAAAAAAAGCACAACAAAATAGAGATTATCCTTAGAATTATTAATGCTTTGTTAAAGACCAGGTAGGAGAAAAGGGGTGGGAGCAAGTTTGGAGAGGAGCACCTGACTAGTTCTAAGGCTTTAGATACAATGCGGTTGGTTACATGTTAATACAGCCATTACATAACTGGGATTATAGTTGAGGGATCAGCACTTATCTACAAAGACCTCCTTGTGTCAGGGCAGCCCAGCTGGTCCCCCAGTGCCACACATCTGTGTGGGCAGACCCTTCCCTGGCTCCGAGGTGCCACAAAGGCAGAAAGCAACCCAAATGTGCGTGGCGCGTTGGCAGGGTGGGGCAGCAGCAGCCTGGGATGTTGGGAAAAGTCCTGTCCTGTGTGGACACGTGAAGATCACGGAGGAGTCTCGACCACCAGCGTGTTAAGCCCTACATGGAATACACCCTGGGCCAAACTGTACAGAATATGCATTCGTAGCCATCTGAGCAGCTTCTGCAAAGTTTCAGGCCCAAGACAGCCTGAAGGCAAAGAGCAGTTGTGAGTGATGCTAGGGAAAGGCACGTGGACTGCTATGGGCAGGAACTAGCATTTCGGCTACTCAAGCTGCTGTAGTTTCCATTTAACATATTTTCTAAGTTTGTTTGTTAGTTTTCTACTGGGGAAAGTGACTTCAAGTGTGGGGTGGGGACAGGAGGGTCAGGGACACAATGTGAAAAGTGCATTATACTTGTGCACCTGCTGGAAAGGAGAGGCAGAGGGACCTCTGCAGCCTTCCTCCTTTCCAGACAGAGCTTCCTCTGCATAGTCTGGTAGTGATGAGCGCTCGTCACCTGGAGCAAATCTCGCGTTCCTGGAGGAACAACGTATGCGTGGCCTGGAAGCAGCCCCGGCCTCTGCTGGGCAGCCGGCCCAAGGAATGTTTCATGAGATGGAACAGATGGCTACAGACATCCATTACTGCATCCTTCAGACTCTTCCCACAACCTCCGTGCAAGCTGGGTAAGACCAAGGCCAGGACATCTCCTCCTCCAGGTAGGACAGACCACAGCTCTCCCTCCCTTCACAACAGCAGCAGGAAAACAGTTTATTTCTCTAATAAGCCTGTCACATCTTTGCCTGCAGAAAGGCCTGGAAAACCAGCTGATTCCACAATCTCTTCCTGGCTTTCTCTCTCCTACCCCTGTAAACCTAAAAAAACCTGAAGCTTCCTCCATGGGATCGTTCACAGTCTTTCTGCCCACAGCAGAGCCTGTCTCACACTCCCTGTCCTGGGAGAGCCTGAACACGACACAACCGCCACTGCAGGAGGTGAGCGTTGCAGCCCAATCCAGTAAGGAAAGATTCCAGTGATTACAACTACTGTTTAGAAGGGCTAGAGGGCCTCTAGTATTCCCATCCTGACAACAGCCCCTGAGGCAAGCAGCCGAGATGCCAGAATCCCTCATCTTAACATCCATCCATGAGACGCCCCCAGCTGTTGCTCCCAGAGAATAGAAGACCTGGCAGCTGAAACACACAGCAGTGTGATTCAGTGGGACTTGCAGGGAATTTGGATAGAAACCCCAAGGTCTAACGCACCTCAGTCCTCTCTGAAGAGCTCAGAACCATACTGGTTCTCAGAAACAGACTGGTGGCAGGAAAACACCAGGGTGAACACAGGCACCACCCTCCAGTTGCCCGAAGTACAGAGCTATTCTTGCTTGGCAGCATCTTGCCTCATACACCAGCTCTTTCAGACCGCTGCCCAGAGCTAGAGGTCTACAAGCAGTAGGTACAGTGACATACAAAAATGAAGGCAGGCTCACCAAGTTCTGCACCATTCAGCTGTGCAAACACTCTGAGTATGCAACATCCCTTCTACATTCATTGGCTGTACTTGATGCAAGATCCCTTCCTCAGCTGCCTACCACAGTTCTGAGTTGCTCTGCACACACCATGCAAAGAAGGGCAAGAGAACCCAGGCTGCTCTGCCTCCTGGTCTTGTCACAGACACCCTGGATTTCCTGAGTATGAGATACTAACCAGCATTAGCCAAGGCCGTTGTGTAAGACTTCAAGGAATAGCAATGGTGAATCACACAACGTGGCAGCCAGGCATCAGGGCCCAGACAAGACATTTCACTTACAAACAGTGCCATGAAGACAACATCCTTCCCACAGGCAAAGGAAGCAGAACCTCCATGTGACAGCATCACTATGACTTTGTACATTTTCGAATGCAGCTGATGAGATCACGAGCTGTGTGTCACTGGGGGAAAGCTACGCGTGACACAGGCAGCGTCCTCACTCTGGAGAAACCCTGTGAGGCACAAACACTGAAGGTGTGAACAGAGCATATCTCAACTAAGGCCTGAAAATAAATTGTTTTCCTCATGCAGGCATTTCAAAGGCAATAGAAACAGCTAGCAATGTACTAGGAAAACACACTTGTGGAAGAACCATTCAGGAGACTCTCTAGCTTGCCTAGCACCTGTGCAGAACATCCTCGTCATGCAGCCAACCGAAGCCAGATGTTTAGAGGACACCTTTCTGGATGGAATTTGGACCAACACTGCAAGCGAGCTGAGCAGAAAGATGGTGAGAGGAGCAGCGTGCTGCCATCGGCACGCCTGGCAGGAACCTTCAGCATGATGAGAACAGGGAGA